TTACAAAGCCAATAGCAATAAAAACAGCATGGTACTGGCACAAAAAACAGACATGAAGACCAGTGGAACAAAACAGAAGGACCTGGATATGAATCCACACAGCTATGCCCACCTTATTTTTGACAAAGGCACCAAAATATATGATGGAGAAAAGACAAGCCTCTTCAACAAATGTTGCTTGGAAAAAGTGGTTTATCTGCTGCAGAAAACTGAAAACTAGATCCATGGTTTATCACCCTGTACTAGTATCAACTCAAAAGAGGACCTAAATCGACGAAAACTCTAAAGTTAGTACAGAAACCAGGGAATAACTCTGGAAGCAATAGGTATAGGCAAGGACTTCCTCATAGAAGCCCAGCAAGCTCAGCACTAAGAGAAAGGATGGACAATGGACTACATGAAATTAAAAAGCTTCTGCACAACAAAAGAAACTGAAGAGACCACCCACAGAGTGGAGAAAATATTTGCCAGCTATACATCAGACAAAGACTGATAACCAGAATATACAGGGAAACTTAAAAAACTAAACTCTCCCAAAATCAATGAACAATAAAGAAATGGGCAACTGAACTAAACAGAACTTTCTCAAAAGAAGAAATTCAAATGGCCAAAAAAACACATGAAAAAATGCTCACCATCTCTGGCCATAAAGGAAATGCAAATCAAAACCACACTAAGATTCCACCTCACCCCTGTTAGAATAGCCATCATCAAAAACACCACCACAACAGGTGTTGGCGAGGATGTGGGGAAAAAGGAACCCTCGTACACTGCTTGTGGGGATGCAAACTAGTACAACCACTCTGGAAAACAATATGGAGGCTTCTTAAAAAACTAAACATAGATCTGCCATATGATCCAGCAATCCCACTCCTAGGGATATACCCAAAGGAATGTGACACAGGTTACTCCAGAGGCACCTGCACACCCATGTTTATGCAGCACTATTCACAATAGCCAAGTTATGGAAACAGCCAAGATGCCCCACTACCAATGAATGGATTAAGAAAATGTGGTACTTGTACACAATGGAATTTTACTCAGCCATGAAGACGAATGAAATGTTATCATTCACAAGTAAGCGGATGGAACTGGAGAACATCATCCTGAGCGAGGTTAGCCAGGCTCAGAAGACCAAAAATCGTACGTTCTCTCTCATATGCAGACTTTAGATCTAGGGCAAAGGCAGTAATGTTGTCGGACTTGGGTCACACGCTAAGGGGAGAGTACATACGGGAGGAATGGGGATAGGTAGGAAACCCAAAACTTGAAAGTGTTTGATGTCCCCACTGCAGAGGGGCTAATACAGAAACCTTAAAATGACAGTTCAATATAGGAAGGTGACCAGGAAGTAGTAGAGATGAATCAATTTGGGTTGTAATACACTTGTGCATGGAAGTGATGCTAGGACTCTCTCTGTATAGCTATCCTTATCTCAACTAGCAAAAACGCTTTGTCTTTCTTATTATTGCTTATGTCTTCTTTTCAACAAAATTGGAGAAAAGGACAAAACAGATTCTGCCTGGAAGCAAGAGGGGTGGGGGAAGAGGGAGGGGGTGAGGGGTAGAGGGGAGAAATGATCCAAACAGTGTATGTATATATGAATATATTAATAAAGAGAAAAAAAAGATGAATACAGATCCAGATAGCTCTATTAAGAAATAACTTTCATAAAAATATTAGTGTAAACAAGATCATTTCAATGCTCAGAGTGTTACTGATGTTTTCAACCAGTAGCAAATTTTAATAGTTCCAAGAATAGATCCAGAGGGTATAGATAATCTGAAGGCAAATAGGTATTCAAGAATCAACTAATAAAGATAAATTATTAAAAAAAAAAGAGTTGACGGTAGTATAGTGAAACAAGCTCTGGAACGGGATGACATCAGACACCTAGGTTCTTCTCCCAGCTTTATTGTTAACTGGAGATCTATATTAGCTAAGTTATTTTGCTTTCCTATACCTGCTTGTTCATCCATAAAATGCAGTACAACAGTTGCAATATAACAGTTAAATTATCTTTAAACTTTATGGTCCTAATGTTTTTGAACTGTTACGTTTCAGCCAACCTAAAAATGTGAATTTATCTTGTTTTAAAGGAAAATAGTTATGTAAATGTAAGAAACAAATGTATCAAATTTAAGTCAATGAATTTTTTTCATAGCCTTTTGCAATTACAAATGAAACTGACTGGACTTTTTGGGGGTAATTTACTGAAATGCAGAATATTTTATTAGCTAATATACTTACTTGTAGTGACATTATTGTTGTGAGGTATTATACCACTCAATTTAAGTAAGCACTTGCTTACTATGAACTTGAATGCACTTTTTGGTGAATAAAGCATTGTAAATGGTTGATGTTTCACACTGATGTTTTCTTTTAGTCATTAAAAACTAGGCAGTACATGAAGAAGAACGAAATGTTATCATTCGCTGGTAAATGGATGGAATTGGAGAACATCATTCTGAGTGAGGTTAGCCTGGCCCAAAAGACCAAAAATCGTATGTTCTCCCTCATATGTGGACATTAGATCAAGGGCAATCACAACAAGGGGATTGGACTTTGAGCACATGATAAAAGCAAGAGCACACAAGGGAGGGGTGAGGATAGGTAAGACACCTAAAAAACTAGCTAGCATTTGTTGCCCTTAACGCAGAGAAACTAAAGCAGATACCTTAAAGCAACTGAGGCCAATAGGAAAAGGGGAACAGGTACTAGAGAAAAGGTTAGATCAAAAAGAATTAACCTAGAAGGTAACACCCACGCATAGGACATCAATGTGAGTCAATGCCCTGTATAGCTATCCTTATCTCAACCAGCAAAAACCCTTGTTCCTTCCTATTATTGCTTATACTCTCTCTATGACAAAATTAGAGATAAGGGCAAAATAGTTTCTGCTGGGTATTGGGGGGGGGAGAAGGAGGGGGTGGAGTGGGTGGTAAGGTGGGGGCAGGGGGGAGAAATGAACCAAGCCTTGTATGCACATATGAATAATAAAAGAAAAATGAAAAAAAAAAAACTAGGCAGTAGACTGTGAATTCTAGGAATGTTACTTCTGGCTTCTTTGAATATTTCCTGGCATATGCTAATCACTTGAGATAAAAAATGTATTGCTTGCTACAGTATTATATGAAATAGTACATATAAATGTGAAAGAGAGAGAAGTTACATAAAGGTCTAGAGATGAGAAGACAAGTCATAGACTGAGAGAAAAATTTTGCCCAGGAAACATCTGATAAAGAACTGTTATTTAAGATAAATAGAGAACTTTTAAAATTCAACAATAAGAAAATGAATAATTCAATTTCAAATATTGGGCAAAAGACCTGAATAGATACTTTGCCAAAGAAGAGATACAGATGTCAAATATACAGAAGTAAGCATATGAAAATATGCCCAATGTCATGTCATTATGGGATTGTACATTAATACAACAATGACATACCAACACACATCTATTAGAATGGCCAACATCGAAAGTACTGATAACACCAAATGCAGACAAGGATGTGCAGAAAGACGAACGTGCATTCATATCTCGTGGAAATGCAAAATGGCAGAGTCACTTTGGAGGACTGTGTGGTGTGTCTTACAAAAATAAGCATCTTCTTACCATATGATCCAGCAATTATACTACTTGGTATTTACACAAATGAAGTGAGAACTGTGTCGACAGAAAAGTCTCCACATGGATGTTTATAACAGCTTTCCTCAAAATTGCCAAAACTTGGAAGTAACCAAGATGTCCATCAGTAAGTGAATGGATAAATAAACTATGACACAGCCAGACAATGATATATTATTCAGCACTAAAAGGAAATGAGTTATGAAGCCATGAAAAGACATGGGGGAAATTTAAATGCATATTGCTGAGTGAAAGAAATCAATCTGAAAAGGCTACATGCTGTATGGTTCCAACTATATGACATTCTGGAAAAAACAAAACTATGGAGACAAAAGAATGATCAATGGTTGACAGGGTTTGGGAGAGGGAAGGATGTGTAGGCAGAGCACAAAGTGAATACAGAATAGTGAAACTATTCTGTATGATATTGTAATGGGGATACAAACCATTATATATTTGTCAAAATTTATATAACGTATACCAAGAATGAACACTAATGTAAATTTTTGACTCTGGGTGATAGTGGTAGTCAATTTAGATTAATCAACTGTAACAAATGTACCAGACTAGTGCCAGATATTGATAGAAGGGGAGGTTGGGTGTGTGGGTGGAGAGGGAGGATAGGTGGAATTTTCTATTCTTCCTGCTCAATTTTGCTAAAAGTACTCTAAAACTAAAGTTAATAAAGAAGGGAGAATATTCTATCTTTTCTCTTTGCTTGGCTTATTTTAAAGAGAAGTGATCTCAAAGTGGCTTTGAGAAAGGCTTCTCAGGGGATGTGATGCTATTATCTGACAAGTATGGATTTGCCAAGACAAGAAAGGAGATGGTGGTAGTGAAGAGAGAACCTTCCAGGAAGGAGAAGAATCGCAGCTACAGGGAGGGAACCTCTTGTTCATTCTGGAAGCTGCAAATAGCTTGGTATGGTCAGAGTGCAGAATGGAAAAAAAAAACTGGAGAGGAAAACTGAGGCCTTGGGATGGAGGGCCTCCTTCCTCCTTTGAGGAGTTTGGATTTGACCATGGCATTGTGGGAGGCAATGAAGGGTTTTAACTGGAAATAGATGATTGAGCAGAGTTGGACATAAAAGGGATTTAAGAGACACAGATTAGAATAGAAATCATTAAGTATGCTGAAAATTACAATACTTTTAACTGTTGAAGCCATCATTCAAACACAAGCTTATTTGGCACAAACCTCAGGAGATCTGGATGGGAGAGGGACTTGAGGAGAATGGTAATTATTTGGAAGACTGCAGTAAGGAATGGAAGAAATTGACTGATAGGATATAAAAGGACAGGTAAGGTGAATTTTGGTCCCTGTTGAATTTGTAGATTCCCTTTCCCATCCAGATCTTCTTAATTGTTAGCAGGCTTCCATTTTGGTTTCTGGTCATTAGAAAACATTACCCTGGCTTTGATGATGGTTGGCCGAGGATCCAAGATGCCCTGCATCTTTCTCAGTGCAGGCACAACGAAGAGATTGCAGGTGACCACAGCTGATACAGGATTCCCTGAAAGTCAACCATGCAGTTATTTATATCATACCACATAAAAATTTGCCAAACAATTACATCTGTTTAGATCTTCAGGTATCATAGACTGTGACAGAGGTAATTAACCACCAGTCCTCTTCTTCTGAATCACCTTGAATTCAATAGGATAACAGTACAGAGATATGGTTAACCACATGCCATAAAGGGTTTGAACATTTGGGTCTTCCAGGAAACAGAGAATTCTGATACTCAGAAGCTCTTCAACATTATTTATTTCTGCTTTCCCAAGAGTAATGCATTGAAAATTATTACTAACCTTGATTAAGTTTTTTTTTTTGGGGGGGGTGTTGCTGGGAATCGAACCAGGGCCTTGTGCATGTGAAGCACACACTCTACCATCTTGATATGTTTTAGAGCAGTTTAAATGTTTTATGTATCTTCTTGTTATTTATTTTATCGATTAATTTTCTATCAAAATTACTATCGAAATATAAGCTTGGGCCAGGTGTGGTGGCTCATGCCTGTATTCTCAGCTGGTTTGAGACCAGCCTGGGCAAAAAGTTAGTGAGATCCTATTTCGACCAATAAAAGCTGGGTGTGATGGCATACACCTGTTACCCAAGCTACATGGGAGGCCACAGGTAGGAGTATCACAATTGAGGCAAAAATATAAGACCCTACCAGATAAATAACTATAGTGGCTATGGCTCAAGTGGTATAGTGTCTGCCTAGCAAGTGTGGGGCCTGAGTTCAAATCCCAGTACTGAGAAAAAAAATATATACGTGAGCTTGGTACCAAAAATTTAGAAAATATTGATAGCACAAGGACATTTATCTATAATCATCTCTACCCATAAATGTCTTTAAATTAAAAAAAATAGCACCAAATGACTTAAGATGTAAAGGGCTTAAGATGAATACTGCTGTGGACTGAATTCATATGATGATGCCTTAACTTCCAATGTGGCTGGATTAGGTTAATATAGTTAAAGTTAAATGAGGACTTAGGGTTGGGCCCTAATCCAACAGAACTGGTGTCCTTATAAAGCGAGGAAGAGACACCAGAAGTGAGTGTGCACAGAGGAAAGGCCATGTGCAGGAAGAAGGAGGCTGACTGCAGGCCAGGAAGGAGGGCCTCACTAGGGACCAATGCTGTGGGCACCTTGATTTTGGACTTTCAGCCTCCAGAACTGTGAGAAAATAATTTTCTGTTGTTTTGGCTACCCAATCATTATGGCAGGTGGAGCAAACTACTTTTAAAGTTATAAGAAGAATATGAGAAATTTAATTGTACTTCTCCAAGAAAAAAATCTAGGCATGTCATGTTCTTCAAAGGGAGAGGGGGCTATGAAAAAAACTGGGCTATAATTAACACTTTGTTGCTTGTGTGATATTATTAAATAATTAGCCCAGACATACAACTTTGGTAAGTTCCAAACCTCTTTATGTCTAACTTTACTCATCCACAAAATGAAGGGTTGGGGCTACCTGATTCTCAAATTCCATCTAGTTTTAAAATTCTAATTTTGTTAATTCTTTTTAGACATCAGAGTGTGTGCATATCCCTTTTCCCAAGTGCAGCTAATTATATCCTCAAAATCAAGGGCAACTGTAAATTCAGCCCACTAGATAAAACCATACCTTTATACCTTCAATTCTCTTCTACCAAAAAGTGATGAGGTGTTCAACAGAATACCAGATTTTTGTCCTCATCCTCCTCCACCTCTTCCTCCTCTCCCCTTCTCCTTCTTCTTCTATCTTCGTCTTTTTTTCTTTTTGAGGTTGGGTCTCACTATTGACTGGGCTGGTACTTGCTATATAGCCCAGGCCAGTCTTGAACTCAGATCCTCCTGCCTCAGCCTTCAGAGTGATGGGATTACAGTGGTGCACCACCATGCCTCATAGAAGAGCAGATTCTTAGTCTTAACTACTTTTCCCCTGTCTCAGAATATCTCACCAATGATTACAAAAATTCCTGTAATACCACTATTTTATACAATTACTTTTAAAGATGAATTGCTCTGTGTAAGAAAAAGTACTGAAGGACTAATACCAAAAAGTTGTAAATAGTTGCTATTTTGGATGGTGATGGGGATTATAGATAACAATTCTTTATACTTTATTTTTCTAATTTTTTATAGCAAACATGTTACTATAATAATTTTAACCAGTTAAACATATCAAGTAAGTACACAAAACTATTATTGGTTAAATTTTGTGAAGATTATTGAAAATCTTTAAGTTTCAAGGAAAGCAGAAATAGTTTAGAAATTGAAAATCCTTGTAAACGAAACCACTTGGCTGTTCCCAGAATCTGAACATGTGAGTTGTTGCTGCCCTCTTTTGGTTCATTCATGCTAAGCAGAGAAAGTTCAAATAAAAGTAGCAATTTGAAGACAGTTTTCAATTTTGTAGTCTTTTGGCTAACATTTCATTAGAAATGGTGAAATAGGTTTCCACAAAAATATTCTTTGCTATACTATAACTGATGGATTCATGTCTTCTGAAAGAGACAAAGAGTCTCTTTCAGGCAAAATGAAGCTAAGAAGAGGAGCCCATTTCTTTATATTGCATGGTTTCCATTATGTCCAGCTGTATTTTTCAATTTAATATGTTCACAGGTGACTCAAGTCCCTCTGGCCCCTGGAGCACAATAGTTCTTGTGAGAGATCGTTAGACTGCTGAATGTGACCAATTTTGTTTAAGGAAAAGACAGATTATCTAGTAACTGCTAACATTTGATTATCATCTTAGGGCTTGGAATGTGCTCTGGACATGTAGTTTGACTTCCACACTACTTTATGAAGCAGATAGTCCCATTTTCTAGGTGTAGAAAGAGCCTGAGAGAATTAAGTGATTTGTTAGTAAAGCTGGGACTTCAGTCCAGGTCTTTCAGGTTCCAAATCAAGTGATCTGATTGGTGACTGGACATCTGAGAAGCCCCTCAAAATTTTGAGTGATGTTTCCAGAAAAAGCAGAGAGCAGTTTCAATGATTCTTACCTGGTAGTGCAAAAATAATTTTTCTTACACCATCAATGTCCAAAGTTGCAAATGTTGTTGGCAAGCTAGAGGAAAATAGAGGTTACTTGTTAGTGATTGCTAAGTAACATGACAGGTAAATTATGTGCTCCAGTTTTCTTGTTATGTGGCTGTCCGTACAGATCACTAATTATATAAAAACACTTTTCTGTTGACTTGCCTTTAAACCTTTATACTCTGAAGTATTTCAGGAACATATTTAAATAATTTTGTTTTTGGTGGTACTGGGATTTGAACTCAGGACCTCACGCTTGGTAGGCAGATTCTCTATCACTTGTGCAGCTCACTTTTCCCCTCCCTCTTGCCAGTGCTATAGAAGCATACCCCAAATTCAGGAGTTTCCAAGTTTTCCCAGCCTTCTACTATGTAACAATGTCTATAATATTTTTTGCTGGAGATTTACAACAGTCATTCTTAGTATCAGACGACTTCTTGATAATATCATCTAACTGCCTCTTGTTTGAGATTAGTATTTTTTATCCTTTTAAAACTATACCCAGCCGTATTTATAAAATTTCCACCCTATCAAAGAAACATTTGAACTATCCAAATAAATAAAATACCATGATGAGAACAAAGTTAAAAACAACAGTATTATATTATCAGATCGTGACGTGAGCTCTCACAGAGAATGTGAGAGGGGTGAGTGGTGTGGATGGAGTGGGCATGAGAACGGTGATTTTTTTCCTACTAATTACTCTGAAGTAGAATTTTAGCTATAAGTCTCATATTAATGAAACTTGAGTATGCAAAATCCTTACGGAATGCTGAAACTTCTATATCGGTGAAAATTTATCCTTTTAAGCACTCTGATTATGTTTATTTTTATCATTTTTGCTGGTTGAACTTTCAAAAATGGAATCATTGCCTCTTGCAATAATGACACTGGCATTTTTGAACTATAAGTATCATTATTAATAAAATTGACTCTGCCTTAATACAGTGATGTTAGATCACAAGGGTACTATGTGTTGTTTTCATCTATAAATCATACTCCACGTTGCTGCGTTCCTAGGTTCTCAAATTGTTTTCTGCCCTCCTTTTTCTTGTGGCTTCCCTTAATGCCAGACTGCCTGCCATCAGAGAGCAGTAATAGCTGTGTTGTTAGAATGTCAATATTAATCACAATTAAAAAAATAACATCTTTGTATTACATCCATTATTTCATTTAAGTCTCAGAACAACACTAAGAGATGACAATTATCATTCCATTTAATAGGTGAGAAAACTGAAATGCAGAGATATTAAGCAATGTGGTTGAATACCACTCAGCTACTAAGTGGAGAAACAAAGATTTGAATCAAGGTTGTCTTAACTTTATGGTTCATGTTGGATAAAGCTCTTAGGATGATATGTCTATGAAGTGTTGGTTCTTGGACTTTGTAACCTCTATTTTGGTTACTTCTGAGGCTTTTTTCCTACTTCCTGATTCTTTGGTATGTTTTAGAAAAATGAGATTAGACAGTCTTATCAATTTATGGATAGGTAATTTGGCATTGAATATTACTGTGTATTGAAAATAATTTCTAAGACACATTCTTCCTAACAGTGGTGCTCAGTATACATGAACCATACAAACAGTGATTGTAGTATTGGTTGATAATACTCCAAATGCTTTTCTAAGTATCTTTGACTATAAAATGAAAGAGGTAATTATATTTGGAGTATGCTGTATGTGGGTAAAGCATAGCTAAACTGTATTTGAGTTTTTTATATTTCCTTTTGTTCTACCAGTAAGTAGCAATTACCTCCAAGTTCTTACCTTTACACAAGTATAAAATTCTGGCCAATTAAAGGAACCCATTTAAACTTCTAAACTGCTTCATTATAGCAAACTAGCACACAGTTAATAGGAGTGAAGACTAAATGCATAATACTTTCTTCCTTTTACTGTACTTAAAGCTAATATAAATTATAAAATCACTTTATATCATCTTTTGCATCTTACAGATAGGTAATATGATTTCACTTTAAAAGATTCTATTTACAGCAAAACATTTTGTTAGCATGCATCGTTATCACAGATGTTCTACTGCTAGGCTGTGAAGTTTTTGTTTAAGCTCTGGAAAGCCATTTTCTTGGAATTCAACACCCGCTGTTCAATTCTCCTCTTGAGATCAGAATGTAATAGCATTTGTACAGTGACTGAAGTACCAAAGTGTTACGAATTTAGGGTATAAGAATATAAACATCAGGAACTAAAGAACTACTAAAATTGAAGGAAGTGGTAAATAATAAACTGAAGAGAAAAAGAGTCCAAAAAGTATCATCATAGGTGCTGTATTTTAAATAATAGATATTATACAAGTAATTCTTCCATAGAGGTCAGACCAAGTAATAACTGCTTCCTTTCTATCACAAAAGGAAAAATCAATTTAAGTTTGAGATTAGCGGGAAGCATACTGACATACTTTTGGGATGCCCTCTGTTTTCTAATTGAGTTAGTACTATCCAAAGAAACAGTGAAAAAAGATTATTATAATATTATTTGCTTATGACAAAATATTATTTTTAATAGAATGATCCAAATCCCATAGTTTCAATAACCAAAGAGCTTGTCAGAGAAGCCATAGTGGGGCACACTCAACAGGCAACTACAGAAATATACTACCAAAAATTACAAATTCTTTCAAATTGTGAAGCAAACTTTTGGGATAATCTTAACTCTATGGAGGTAGAGCCTAATCTCCATACTAGACCTGAAACCAAGTGCTCAGTAAGTCAAGGACATTAGGAGGGCTGGCTTGACACTTAAAAGGTTTTGGGAAACAGGTTGCTGTTTCCCATAGCTCATGGGGATCTATATATAACAACAGGGAAGCCCCCACTCTACTCTCTCTTAGCATTCATATGAGCATCCATCAGAGTACAATTCTGGACTGAAACATCATTACTGACAGCATGGATGTGAGCTAGAATGCTCACCCACCTATACACTGAGGTCTTTGAACAGGGAATCAAAAGTTCATTTAGCAGTAGGGGTTTGAGCAGGCAGATTACTGTTGGGAGACATGGTTATTCAATAACACCAATGGCATTCTTTGAGGATTTATAGCTAATTAGAGAACTTCCCTCCATAAGCCTTTCTTTAAGGAGTGGTTATTAGTTTTTAGGAAATATGCAAAATCTTGGTATGTGGTTATTTTTCTTTCCTCTTAGAAAATAGTAAGAAGTAGTGTTAAACCTTACTTATGAAGTAGACTTGTGAAGGAAAAAAAATTAAGTCTGGACCTAACTAAGCCTTTAGATCTAATATTTAATTTACAGAATATACTGAAGATAAATGAACATGTTAAATAATCCAAGGAAGCAATCAGTCAAATCTATTTGTCAGGACAAGTGATCCGGTTTCTCCAAGAAGTCAATGGCATAATAAATAAATAAAAAGATAAAGAAAGAAATAAAAAATTTAAAAGAGGTAAGGAAGAGTAAATATTCTCATTTAGCAGAGACGTAACAACTAAATATGATGAATGGACCTTGCCTGGTTTTTGGGTCAAACAAAACAATTGCAAAAAGGCATTCTTCTTCTTGATATTTGGGAGAACTTGAATATGATTGGGCCATTCAATGATATTAAAGTATTATTAATTTTGTTAGGTGAGACAACACAATTGTGTTTTTGTATCTTATTACTTATCAAAATGACACAATATCTGGAATTTGATGTAGATCAATCTAGCTTTCACTCTCCCCAAAGAGGCAGGGGTTGGGGATGGTGAAAATAAGTATAGATACATGTTGATAGTTACTGAAGTTGGGTAATGGGTACCTCTGCTTTTATGTGTATTTGAGAATTGTTATACCAAACTGTTTTTTAAAAGCAAGAATAAAGTAGTAAGGAGAGAAAAAAAGAAGACGAAGAAACAAGACATGGAAATTAAAAAGGAAAAAAAAAAAGGTTGGAAAGTTGCTTTGCTTTGTTTTACACCAAACTCACTGATTTTTCATAAGTAAGATGAATTTTTATTTCAAATAGGAACTGCACTTATGCAAAGGATTCTTTCTTTTATTAGAATAGTTAACCCAAACAGAAAAATGTAAAAAGAAAGCATTTAATATTTATTAGTTAAAGCAATCCAAACCAATCCCATATATGAAATAAGGTTATTTTCATACCCTGGTTTCATAAAAACCCTGCCAAAATGGATCTGTGCATGAAGATCAATGTCCAGCACCTGCTTGAGATAGTCCTGCAAACATTAAGAATAGTCACTTTACTTTCAAACATTTTACTATCACACTTCCAACATGTTAAATTAAAGATCGATAAGATAAAAAAAGAGACATTTTTCTTATCTTAGTGAGGTTGATTTGCTTAACACAAATATTATTTCATTGCTTATTCATTCATTTATTTATTTAATAACTATTTTTTGGTACCTGGTATATTGCTGTATGCCAATCTAGGTGTTAGCAGGGGAATATAGCCTTGAACAAAAGAGACAATGTTTCTGCACTCACAGAAAGTACATTCTAGAAGAAGAAGTTAGATAATAAGCAAAGTAACTATATTAATGTACAATATCCTTCCTTGATGGGTTTTTATTTCTCTTCAGACAGAATTTTATATCTGAAAAAGACTGTTAACGAATATGTCTAAAGAATTTGTGCCTACTATTCACAATAGCCAAGTTATGGAAACAGCCGAGATGCCCCACCACTGACGAATGGATTAAGAAAATGTGGTATCTATACACAATGGAATTTTATGCAGCCATGAAGAACGAAATGTTATCATTCGCTGGTAAATGGATGGAATTGGAGAACATCATTCTGAGTGAGGTTAGCCTGGCCCAAAAGACCAAAAATCGTATGTTCTCCCTCATATGTGGACATTAGATCAAGGGCAAACACAACAAGGGGATTGACTATGAGCACATGATAAAAGCGAGAGCACACAAGGGAGGGGTGAGGATAGGTAAGACACCTAAAAAACTAGCTAGCATTTGTTGCCCTCAACGCAGAGAAACTAAAGCAGATACCTTAAAGCAACTGAGGCCAATAGGAAAAGGGGAACAGGAACTAGAGAAAAGGTTAGATCAAAAAGAATTAACCTAGAAGGTAACACCCACGCACAGGAAATCAATGTGAGTCAACTCCCTGTATAGCTATCCTTATCTCAACCAGCAAAAACCCTTGTTCCTTCCTATTATTGCTTATACTCTCTCTACAACAAAATTAGAAATAAGGGCAAAATAGTTTCTGCTGGGTATTGAGGGGGTGGGGGGAGAGGGAGGGGGTGGAGTGGGTGGTAAGGGAGGGGGTGGGGGCAGGGGGGAGAAATGAACCAAGCCTTGTATGCACATATGAATAATAAAAGAAAAAGGAAAAAAAATAAAGAAAAAAAAAAAGAATTTGTGCCTAGATCAGGAGGATCATGAGTTTGAGGTAGCCTGAGCTACACAGCCAGATCCTGTTGCAAATAAATAAATAAATAAAGAACTAAATAAATAAATTTAAAAAAATGTTGTACCTGGTCAGGGAAGCCACATGTATGTGTCCTACACTATTCTGCTTAACGGACTTAAAGCAATATACCTTCCTTGAAGAGAGACTTGGTAAACTGAACTCCAAAACAGACATTCTGCTCATAAAAACACAATTTTTTTTAAACAGTACTGGGGTTTGAACACATGGCCTCATACTTACTAGGTAGAAGAAAGAATATTTTCAAAGAGTTGAAGCAACAGAACTTAAGGAACTAAAAGCACTATAATCTGCAAGAATTCTGTCTGAAGAGAAATAAAAAGAGAGTTGACTGGAGACGGTGTTATGAAATGGCAGAAAACACAGGATTCTTAACTAGGATATTTTAAAAATAAGGCTTTTTACTAAACCTGTGGGGTGCCAGTGGCTCACACCTGTAATCCTAGCTACTTGGGAAGCTGAGATCAGGAGGCTTGCGGTTCAAGGCCACCTTGGGCAACTCCATCTCAACTAATAGTTGGGTGCAGTGGTCAATAGCTGGGCTCTGGGGTGCACACCTATTATTTCAGCAACAGTGGAAAGCCTCAAATAAGAGGATAGTGGTCCAGGCTGCCTTGGCCAAAAACAGAGACCCTATTTCCAAAATAACCGGAGAAAACAGGGCTAGAGGTATGGCTCAAGTGGTAGAGTACTCACCTAGCAAGCTCAAGGCTCTGATTCCAAACTGCGATACTGCCCAACATCCCCACCCCCCCAAAAAAAAAAAAAAACCAACCAAACAAACCTAAACTCAAACACAGAAACAACAACAATAGGGGCTGGGACTATAGCTCAGTGATAGCCCTGAGTTCAAATCCTAGCACTGAAAAAAAATCTCCCCCCATTGCTGGAGATCAAACCCAGGGCTTCAAGCATACTAGAAGAATGCTCTACTGAACTATGATCCCCCAGCCCTCTTTTTTTGTTTTGTTTTCAACAGAAAGTTAATTTTATTTAGGGTAATTAGGCCTTCAATCTGGGAAAGCACAGATTTAAGCAACCTTGATAATGTGCTAATTTTCTCTGATAGTGATATAGTAGAGCCAGCTTTCTTTTGTTACAACTTTTTTCCTAATCTCCTACTTTCTATTGTCTGTATCCTCATATTTCAGGTGTTTCTTATGAGCAGGAAATAATTGGCTTTTTAAAAAAATCTAAAATGACAATTTTTAATCAGAGGATTCAGACTATTTATATTTAGTGTGATTACTGCTATATTCTGAGTTAAAATGATCACGGTTTGTTTTCTACTTGTCACTTCAGTTTTCTTTTCCTTTTATTTTTCCTTCCAGGCCTTCCTTATGATTCATCAAGTATTTGTTAGTTTTCTTTCCCTTCTACTAGTTTCTTAGTTAAATGAATTCTTATTATTTTAGAAGTTATTTTGGAGGTTACAACATGCATCTTTGCTTTATATGCTGACCATAATTTGGTAATTTAAAATCATTTCCCAGGCAATACAAGGATCTTAAAACATGTTAATTCCATTTATCCCTCTCTACTTTTTAATGCCATTTTATATATATAAAACATATATATATCTTACACACTTCATGTATATATGTATGTTTTTAGGTATTATAAGTTTTAAGTATGTATGTTATAATGATATATTTTACATATTCTATGTAATTTATATATTTAACATATATATATTAAACCTCACAAGATATTTTTATTTTATGCAATCAACACTCATGTACATCTACTGGCATACTAACTCTTTCTTTAGTTCTGTTGTCCTTTCTGCATTTCTGTTTCCAGAATCCTGCTGCCTAAAAAATCTCCCTTCAGTGTAAGTATGTTCAGTTTTTGTTTGAGTGAAAATGTCTTTATTTTGTATTAGTTTTAAAGGAAATTTTTGGTGGATATGCAGTTCCGTATTCACACATGCTGTTTTGTGATTTTCTGAGTTCTTTTATGTTAAGTCACTTCTTTTAGTATTATTGCCCTTTGAAGGTAATATGTTCTGGTAAGATTTTCTCTGTACTTGGTTTTGCCATGATTTAGATGTGGTTTCTTTGTATTCATTCTGTTTCAGATCAGTAAAGCTCCTTGAATCTCTGGCTTGCTGTCTTTCACTGGTTTTGAAAAACTTGGTCAATATTTCTTAAATGTGGCTTTTGTTCACTCTCCTCTTGAACTTCAATTACACAGAGTTTTCATCATGTTCCATATGTGTTTTATGCTCTTTTCCATATTTTCTATCATGTTGCTAAAGTTTTCATTTGATTCTTATAAACAGATTCCAGTTTTCTAGTAAATTTCTCCATGTTGTTATTTTTCTTAAGTATATAACAGTCATGCAAAGTCCATGTGATGCATCAGCATCACTTTTAGGGTTGCCTTTATAAATTTTTCTTCTTTTAATTTTTAGTCATTTTGTTTTATCTGGTAATTTTAAAATCTAAGCCTAAATATGGCATATGAAAAAAAAAACAATGAGGGTCTGAATGATGATTTATTCCTACAGAAAGTACTTAATTTCTTTTGGTAGTTACCTTGCTCTAATTAGGGATTGAGGAAATTTGATACTGGATTTCAGTCCTTGTAAAGGCTGGCTTATTTCTAATTTGTCCTTCTTTCTAGAGCACAGCCCTTTAATGGTTTAACTCAGAAGTGTGACATATCTGCCAGGACCCCTCCTTCATGGCCTGAACTCCTAAGAATGATGAAAACTGCTTATTTTATTAGCTCCCCAGCTACTGTTTTAAGCTTGGCTTCTTGGTCTCTTATACCATTATACCCCTTCCTCCTGCCCTTCTCTTGTACCATTACAACCCATTCACCCCTGACCCCTGCTCCTCCCTTTATAAATTAGTAAATTCTTTTTTTTTTTTTTTTGAGACAGGATCTCACTGTGTACCCCCAGCTGGCCTCAAACTCCAGGTCTTTCTGTCTTAGCCTCCCTAGTGTGGGATTACAACTGTGCACTACCACACCTGGCTTTAACAAATATTTTTTAGTACTTATAACGTATCAGGAATCCTGTGTCCTGAGGATTTAATGGTAAACAAGACAGATATAGTCCCTGAAACTAGGTCTTTTTATATTTTACAGAAAAACCATCCATAATAAGTAAACCAACAAATAAGATAATTGCCATTTTTGGTATATGCTCTGAAGAAATAGGCAGGTACTGAAATAGAGAATAATGGGGGAGGGTAGAGAATAAAAAACTCCATTTTAGAAAAGGAAGTGATGTATTAGCTAAGGCCTGAAGGATAAGAAGGATCCAGGCATGTAAAATATGTGTGTAGAGAGAGAACTCCACAGAGAGGTAAGTACTTATGAAACCTCTTAACACAGTGAGTGTGTCTGGAGTGAAAACACAATGAGAGGCCGTGAACGAGCAGGAGGGAGGTATAAACTGAGGCTGCAAAGGTAGGCAGAGGCCTTTCCTACAGGGCCCTAAAGGTTATGATACAGTTTGCAAAGCAGACACATTATTTGGAAAGCAGTGTATTAACTAAATGAATGGAGATATTCTACTTTTCTTGTAAAAAATCATTTGTTTAAAAAAAATGCCCATTGTAGTTCTTTTTGAACATGAAGAAATGCTTCATGTCCCTTGTGACAGGAAAAGCTTCTATCAGACATAGTGATAAAGGCTAAGCATCATCATTGCTCTTAAACTCTTGTCTATCAATTGAAACTGTGAGATCTTTGTCTGATAGTCAGAAACTCAGAGTCAGATACAAAGAAGAGATACAGTAGACCTTAA